CGACGATCAGTATCATCAACAATTACCAATGCGTATCACGAGTCGGGAACATTTTTGCACGGTTTCAATTTTGAAAATGCCTCATTAACTAATTGTACTTTTAATATTACTATAAATAAAAATGATGTTTAATTGTTGTTAATGACATTTGTATTGTTGCTTTGTGACATGTTTCATATTGTTGCCATGACAACATGTTTCCCTCCGCCGTAAAGAAATGGGAAAAAAACTGCTGCCGGCGGAGACATCAAACGTTGACAGAATCAAGTTAGATAAGTAATGTCATCATTATTTGACGTTTGAAGAAAAAAATTATTTCCGAAATAAAATTAGCGTTTGGTATATTGACTAGTTTTAAGATAAATAAACAAAACTTGGCATAATATATCAAAATTCCTTTTATGTAGAGTAAATCAAAATTTATCGAATAAAACTCATTATTTTTATTATTAGGTATATTGTTTTTTTAATTAACTGCAAATGATAAATACGCGTTCAACGTTTTATCATTCAGAAAAATCAACATTTTTTAATTGTATTAAAATTTCAAGGATATTTAAAAACAATATTAGCATTTGCATAAAAAACGAAAGGAAGGAAACAACTATTTTTATAAAAAAAATGTTTTTTAACCATATTAAACTTTGGTTGATACTTAAAAATACTAAAATCTAATACGGTTAAAAAATAATACAAAATTATTTTTAATAATTGATTGAACGTTTTTACTTTTACCCCAGATATCTTATCCAGTATATTTCTCAAGATCCTCACTATACTACATCTTATCTAATGCAATTGCTAATAAAATTAAAGAAAACTACCACACCAACTAAAAGTTTTTCTACAAAACCTTCTACAAGATGCAATCAAAGAAATAGATAATACTGAAGAAGTTGCACGTAAGAACCAAAACCGAAATGAAATAGATAGGGATGAAATTAGAGTAATAATACACTGACTTGAAAAAAGTGGCCACTCTATAAATTTCCGAAAATAAATATTTATTGGAAGTTTTATGCACTGTTTCACATTGTACTCAAGATCTTTCATTTTTAAAACAAAAAATAGCCATTACAGCTTGATTCCTTAGCATAATTTATTTAATCAGAAGGCTACAACAGATAGTGTAATATCGAAACAAATTACAAACAATAAAAATTACTAGTGAACTTAAACAAAATTGTCTATTATCGGAAATTATGTATGTACCCTAAATCATCAATGGTTTGCATACGATTTGGAAGGGATAGGAACAAATTTTTGAATAAAAACTTGAGGAATACGTATATATTTTTCTGAAGCACGTTTTGAAGTTCTGCAAGACGTTATGGCTGGCCTGGTTGACTTGTAATCCTACGATGAAGTTCATCCCAAAGATCTTTAATGATATTTTGATAAGGACTGCAGGCTGGCCATTCTAGAGTATTAATTTCTACTTCCCCCAAGTAATTTATCATGATTGTTGCAGTATGCGGCCGTACATTATCATGCATAAAAACGAAATTGTCCCCAATAAGGAGATCAAATGCCAACACATCCTCTATATACAGATGAACATTTAGGGGCCATTACTAAAAATAAGTTCAGTTCAAGCTTTAAATGAGATTCCAGCCAAACCAAACTTTTTCCTCTGGGACATAAAAGCTTGAGCATATCTTTCCATTTCTCGGCCTTTGTCAGACTTCAAAGGGAACCGCGATTTTTTTGTCGAGCAAAAATTAATGGATTCCTATAGTGTTTGGGCTGTAATTCGGGAACAACAGCTAAATTCTTGCCTTTCTTGCCATTAATCCTTTTTAATTAACGCGTCTTCTAACCATTCTCTCACTAACATTCACATTCCGAACCTCCTGCAGACAGTTTTTTGCAGCAATTGCGGTGGAATGGCGATTTCTTAAAAGTTCCATCATAATAAAACGATCATCTCTTCGCGAGGTTACTCTTCTACCACTGAAACCAGGTCGACGTGAGTATGTACCAATCTCTATAAAGCGATCGAAAGTTCTCCGTACTGTAGTTCTCGGAATATCTAAAGTTTCGGATACATAAACTTGACTTCTTTAGTCTTAATTACTATTTAACTGGGAATAAGCCACAATTAAAGATAAAAATACGTTTATTGACGTTTCAATTTCCACTTCGGAAATCGTTCTCAAAATACAAAATATATGTATAGGTTTGTATTTTGAGAACGATTTCCGAAGTGGAAATTGAAACGTCAATAAACGTATTTTTCTCTTTAATTGTGGCTTATTCCCAGTTAAATAGTAATTAATTTACAATGCCACAAGAAAATAGCTTCAGAACAATATTCTTTAGTCTTGTAGCAATACAATAATTCGATCTACATTTACTGTAGATGACACCATATTTTAACTATTCACTTAGCGAAAATCCACGTTTGAAAAGCTAAATTACTATTTAATTAAATGTTTTCAACTTAGAAGATAAACAGCGACTACAGAAAACAACAACATAAACGTCAAAACTGTCAAAAATTAGCATACGTGATCGCAATAAATATTTAAATTGAGACGCAATATGAAACAGTGCATAAAACTTTCAATGACTTTTTATTTTCTGTAAATTATAGGGTGGTCTTGGCTTCCAATGTGTAATTTTGGCCAAGAGCAGACAAACGTAGTAAAGGAAGACCACCTACACGTTGGGATGACGACATCAGGCGTATCATCAAAAATTTTTAACAAAGAACATAAAATCGCAAAGAATAGAGAAGTTTAAGGGAGGCCTATGTCCAGAAGTGGACGTGAAATGAAGGCTGGATGATGATGATGATAGTGGTCACTTTTTTGCCGTTCAAGGTATAAAATATAACCTAAAGAGAGAAAAGGCAATTGGTTACGATAACATAACAACGTAAATGCTAGAAAATATGAGGGAAAAAGGAATTAAAATGCTTAGGTAAGTATGTAACAAGATATGGAACAAGAGCAAGATACCAAAAGACTGTAACGTATAGAGGTATAACCCTCCTCATTATATTTTCCAAAGTATACGAAAGAATGCTTAAAGAAAAGGAACAAGGGCTCTTAAAAGACGTGGATAACAAACTGGTGGGAAACGAATAGAGCGGATTCAGATAAGAAAGAAGCATACACGATCATAGTTTCACTCTACAGCAGCTAATGCAGAATACACGAAATTTAAGTACGGAACTGTATCAAACCTTTATAGACCTAGAAAAGGCATTTGGTAGAACACTGCGGATAGAAATCGATGATGAAACAAAGAAACATACACCAAATCGCGAAAAACTACAACTATGTTTCTTAAAGAGGATTACAATTTTATAATTACTTACTTATTCACCAAGTTAAACACTCTTAACAAACAATTCTCGAAAACCCAACATTTAGATGGGATTTTTTCCGCTCAGAACTTTCGTAAATTCCAAAATTTGTGCTTTACTTTTGAGTGGCACTTTTCCTCTGTGGACGTGGACTATAATTTTAGTGATTTTTTAGATGGCCTTGTCTACATTTTCAATAAGGCATTCCCTTTAATTACAATTAAGTCAAAAAATCACAAACCCTGGACTACCAAAGGTATCCGCATATCAGCCAATAATATGCGTTCATTACGGTACATCAAAAAATTTACTACCAACGTCTTTGTTACAGAATACATATCCAAGAACAGAGGAATCTATCTAAAACTTATTAAAACAGATTAAAAAATGTACTTCAGAATGGTCTGGGAACCTTTTGATAAAAAAAAACTAAATTTCTACGGAATTCAAGGTATTTCTTTGAATTGGTTCCAATCTTAATCGAGGAATAGCAAACTAGTTAGAGCTAATGATACTGACTTTAGTCACAAAAGCATTGTATGTGGTATCTATGCAATTAAGTTCAGAATGGGGTCCTCTACTTTTTGATGACATCACTAACTTAAAAATCGATGGAAAATTTTTCTTTTTGCTGATGATACCAGTATTAACTGGAGGAATTCTAATATTGCAACTCTTTATACAACTATAATTTTTGATCTACTTAAAATAAAAACCTGGTCCGACTCTAATTTACTCTCTTTTAACGTGAATAAGACAGTAGTATTATCCTATAAAGGAGCTCTTCTACTCCTGCTTCGTAATAACAGCCAGATCAGTATCGTTGATTCTGTAAACTTTCTCATCTTCCAAAATCATACATTTTTCTTTGTTCGAGTCTCATATTCGATATGGCCTTCCTTTCTTGGGTTCTAGTACAGTTTCAATATGACCCTTCTTCGGGAGTTCTAGTACAGCTGCCCAATCAAATGTTTAATTGCAAAAAGGAGTAATACGATATCTGTTTGGCCTCAGTAGAATAACATATTGCATATAAGAATAATAACGAATAACAACTTTAAAAATCACGGTATTTTAACTCTTTCCTCTTTATATATTCTAGAAACTGTTTGCTTAATTCGTAAACACCTACATGTTTTTCCAGCAAAACCCTACAACTTAAATTTACAACTTCTTTCCGTAAGTTTCGTAAATTGACAAAAGCCTATCTATCTGAAAGATCATATTATTTTCTTAGAGAGTTCAAGAAGAGTTTCTTAACATATAGACAGTGGTAGTCTTATGTCAAAATAAGCATTTCCAAACACAAACATGCATTTCCAAAACGAGTATAGAAGAGGAAAATAAGACAAATGCCTATGAGCTACTGTAAAGCAATAGTGGAGCATTCAGAAGTTCATATTGTTCAAAATATACTCCATACAAGCACATAATGTGACTAGAACAAAGACATCCGAAAAGATCTTAAAGCCGAGGCTGAAAATCTTAAAGCAGTGCATTATTTGCAGCTCTATAATAGTATATAGTATACTAGTAATCAAGAAAGAATATCATTTTAAAATTAAAATAATATAATATATAGTTTAATACTGTAAAAAAACATTTTTTCAACCAGAAATAAGTTTTTCTGATAAGATTTTAAACAATGAATTTATTATCTATATTAAAATCCTTCTTATTCACTTACCCTTAATAAAATAAACTTTTTTGGACGTAATCCAACTTTTAGAGGATAGAATGGCACTTGACACTAACGCGGTTTTTTCAAATCACACCGACAACATCTGAACGAGCCAAAGAATTGATAAAAATCACCTCGGTCGATGTACACCGCACGATTTGGTGGACTGCTGTGTTTTGTTTCGCGATGCGTAGCGTTCTTCTCCACGTTGGTGAACCACGAACCACGCTATGGAGGAGGATTCGGAACCTTGAATATAATAGTTACATTATCGAATATTAGAATAACAAGATCATTTGGAATAAGTGAGTAAGGTATATAGAAAATGATGCATAACGAGTTAATTGTTTTCGGGAATTACGTCATTTATAAAAGGTAATTTTTTTCAGACGTTTCGACAGTTGGCTCCTTCAGTATCTTCGATTTTTAATAAAGAAGTTTAACAAGGACAATAAAACAAATTGATTTGTAGGTTTGTTTAAGAGAATTATGAAAGTGAGAGATTAATTTTAGTACATGTTTCTTCTTTTTCTTCTTTTTCTTCATAAGCAATTCTGCTTGTTAATACCTCTATTGAAGGTTGTCACTCCATCTTTTGCGCAGTCGTCCGATACTTCTTCTGTCGATTGGTGCCTTTTTTTTGCTATTTTCACCAGCTTTCAAGTCCATATTGCAGTACACTGGTTAGGGAGATTGAACTGGAATAGGAAGATTTATCAAGGGTTGGACTAAGGTAATGATTGTAAAATTGTGGTATAGTTTATTTTTATGAACGAGAGAGTAATTAGCATAATTTTAACTGGTACCACCGACCACTCCATGGGCGTGCTCAAGATTAATTGAAAAATTACTTTGAATAATTGTAAAAAATAAATGAATTATTTCAATGTTATAAAGTGTTATGTGTATGTAAACAAAAGTGACCTCTTTTATCACACACTATATTAGAACTGACTGGCCTACATTAAAAAGGGTTTTAAAAAATTCACATTTTTTTTAATTTTTAAAAATTACAAAAGAGGAAAAGAGTTTTTAAAACCGTCTAAGGTATGTTAAATGGATGAATAAAAATATTAATATAAAACTTACAGCTACTTGTTACAAATCCAAATCAGATTCAGAAGATGAACTTTCAGAACCAAGATTTATAATAACTGGCTCGATCATTTTATCAGTAATATTATCCAGCTTCCACATTTTTTCCTCTTCTTTAATAGTGTGATTTAATGCCTTTTCCCAGTTTTCAGGTTTTACATTATTTACGGCCTCCAAAAACAACTGTTTAACATCATGAATTTTAAAAGTGGTATTTTTTCTTGAAACATCACTCTTTATCTGTGCCCATACCAGTTCAATCGGGTTTAATTCACAATGATATGGTGGGGATCTAAGTACTGATATTCCACGATTTTTGGCAATTTCATCAATTTCGTATTTTTTAAATTTTTCTTTATGAAGGGCACACAACGAATAAAGTTCCTTTCTTATAGATCCGGGATGGTACGTAATATTTTTTGAACTCAGCCAATTCTGCAAGTCTTTTTTTAACCACTTGGTTGTGGGCAGTCCTTCTATAAGTCTGGAGTGATAACTTGCATTATCCATTACTATTACACAGTTATTAGAAAGAAGATCTATCATTTGTTCGAACCATTCTTGAAAGACATCAGCGTTCATGTCTTCATGGTAGTCACCGGTACGAGTTGATTCAAAAGTTAATAAACCCTTCAACAAAACCGTCTGAACTGCCAATGTGTACTATTATCAGCCTGCGTCCCTTTCCTGATGGTGGGTTTAAACCAGTAGATAAGTTATTTACAAAAGCGTGCCTTTGACTTGTAACAGTTTCATCCTGCCAAAATTTATTTGGTGTATGACCCTCATTGATCCATGTTTCATCAAGGGGACTCTTTTTCCAGCGGAAGCCTATTTCTTTTAAAAGTTTTCATAACGTACTTCGACTCATTTCTGGGTAATCCTTATCATCTATAACTGAGACAAGAACTTTATCCAATGTTGGAAATTCTTGTCTAAAGAAGAATTCATGCACTTTCCGTCGAAGTCCTTCTTTAAAATGATATTCTATTTGAAATTTTGGTTTCCCTAGAGCATTACGTGGCATTTGAAAACTACCACATTTCTCTTTTTTAATAACTCTGTAAATCGTAGATTTCCCAACACCAAGTGTACTGCTAACTAACTCAACGGTCTCATCAACACTTTCACATAAACGTTTGTCTGTAAATGATTTAAAACAATTAAATATTAATGTTTTTTCATTAACTGTTAAAGGACCAATTTTTCGGCATTTACACGGCACTTCCAAATTTTCCATAACACTAGTATACACAATAAACTGCACCTTGCAACTGAAGTACCTACTTTTAGTGAACTGTTAAGAATTTTGAATACGCCACTTGGACCTTCCTACAAAATGGAAAAACCCACTATCACATTTTCTGTGGAATAAGTTTAGAAGGTAATTATCTAGTCAATTACTGTCGTAGATTCCTGGAATTAAAGAATTAAATGTTTGATTGTTGAAACCCTTACTTCGTGGAATGCACTCATTTCAGAGTTTATTTTATCTAAAGAATTAAACTTTATTTTGCAAATAGGTAGGTACTTATTAAACTTTTATTGGTTATATATAACCAATAAAATAAACATCTTACATTTCTTTCAAATTCATTAGTACCTGTTAACCTCCATCACTCTGACACTGGCAACCTTATTTAGAGATTAGTAACCCTCACAACTATTGTATTCTATTCTGCTCCAACTTTTATACCTGGTGGTCATACTCAATTTAAAATTGTTTTCCTATATACTTCTGTAAACTTGTTGACAAATATCTGTTTTTCATTGAGTCACCCGTATCAACAGTTTATAGATTTGTATACATAATTTATTGTTTTATTACTCTCTCATACATAAAAATACACTATAGAAGGATAGTTAGTAACACAGCGAAAAATGACATGATTTTTCGCAGACGAAAAAATTGAACAGTCACTATAAAATATGTGCTTTCTAACTCTAAACAAAGTATTTGACTGCATTAGATTAGAGGATGTGTTACAATTACTAAAAAAAGACAGTCTAACAGAATGATAAAGACAATAACACTAACAACAAAATGAAAACTAAAGTTGAAATCTATCATTGAAAGTAGATATCAACTCAGGAATACAGGGTGAATAGCTTAAGCCTACTTTTTTCAAGGTAATAATGGAAAAAATCATAGAAGGGATTAAAAAAATTAGGAAAAGGATACAAACTGAGCAGTTACAAAAAAAATCCTTTGTAATACAGACGTTGCAATCCTTATCTTGCATAACGAAGATTACCTACAGGATTGTAATTGTATAATGATACAAACATTAGCAGCTAAGACATACCATTTGAAAATATCTATATCTTATACGAAATTTAACAAGGAAATAATCGAACAAGTCACGAGATTATCGGAAATAAAGAGTGCAAGAAAAAAAGTAAATAAAGCAGCTTATATATTAGGATGTCTAAGGGACATCATCTGGAAGACTACGTTTTAAGATCAATTGCTGGGAAAACATTAAGAAACAGAATGCCCACTCATCAAAGAAAAGATCTCTGTAAAATACTGGATATTGTACGATGGGAAATTAGACAAGACAGGAATGAATGCAGCATGTCGCATGAATGGATAATGAGAGACTGGTCCAAATACAAACAGATTTAAGACGAACATGCGGCAAACAACGAGGAAGACTACTATTTAAAAGATGGTGAGATAGCAGATAGACAACATCACAAATACCAATACAGCGTTAAGAGAGGACAAGAACAGGTCTAATGCTTAATATAAGAAGAAGAAGTCTGCTTCTCTTTGTTGTCTTATTCGATAATTATCAATCAAGTGTATTTATAAGTGGAGAATTTCTGTCTTTTAATGAGGTCGTCCATTTTTACAAACGCATTTCTTGCTATTTCTATCCTGGCGCTTATTTCGGTTGTTTGATCATTATTGTCTGAAATCCAGGTTCGTAGATATTTGTATTTATCAACTCTTTCTATCGGTATATTTACCAAAGGTATGTTTGTTGGTATATTTGTTTTCTTTGTTATTATCATGTATTTGGTCTTTTTTATATTCATTTTTAGTCCGTATTTTTCACAGAAACTGTTTGTCGTTTATCAGTGATTGCAGTTGTTCAGCAGAGCTTGTTATAATCATGGTGTCATCTGCATATATTATGTTGTTATAGATCTTCCGTTAATTATTATTGCTTCACTTTGAGATAGTAATGCTTCTTCAAAAATAGCTTCACTATATACATTAAATAGTAATGGGGACATAATACATCCCTGTCTAACTCCTCTCCTGATTTCAATTTCTGGACTGGGTTCGTTATCTATTACGATTTGTTTTCTTTGATTCCAGTAGAGGTTTGTGATTATTCGTAAGTCCCTATGGTCTATGTTTTTTGTCTTTTGAATTTTGACCAATTTTTCATGTCTTACTTTGTCAAATGCTTTTTCATAATCAACGTAATCAAGCATCCACATCAACATTCATATCCATGCATCTTTGAGCTAACACATTAAAAGCAAATAACGCTTCTCTGGTTCCTAGTCCGTTTCTGAACCCAAACTGACCATCATGATAATCTGGAACTGGAAGGTGTGGACACCTTTATCTACCTGGGCTCGCTGCTGACTAAAGACAACAATGTCAGCGAAGAAATTAAAAGAAGAATAATGCTATTATGGCTTGAGGAAACAGATGGCTCCAAAACTATCCAGAAAAATTAAAATTACCATATATAAAACAATAATAAAGCCAGTGTTAACATCCGGGTCAGAAACGTGGTCACTTACATAGAACGACCAAGAACTGCTTAGACGTTTCGAGAGAAAAATTCTAAGGAAAATATATGGAGAAGTCCAAGAACCGGGTTTGTGGCGTAAACGCTACAACTTTGAATTATACAGAAGTTTTGGGGAACCTGACGTTGTAAAATTTATTAAATTAGAACACCTTCGATGGATAGGACATGCAATTAGGCGAGATGAAGATACAACGATCAGAAAAATTTTCGACCGAATAGGACCAGTAGGAAGACGATCCAGAAGAAGACCAAAACTTAGGTATCAAGATAACATAGAGGATGATTTAAAAACCATCGGAGTTAAAGCATGGAGAAGA